ACTACCTCGCTTGTTCTGACCCGTACTTGGAGCTCACTGTACACCAGTTCAACGGATTTCTTTCGGCAACCGACCCGAGGTCACGCCGGAAGTCTTCGTATCGCAAATGCGGATTGAATTTGGATATAGTCTTCTTCGAAATTATAAGTTAAATACTTTTGTATCTTAGGCCGTTAAAAAATACACTCACCATAATTTCGAAGAAAGACTATGTCCAAATTTTTGGACAAAGAGCATGGACTATGCTCATGGTTTTGATTGATTTTGGGTCACTTTCTCACCTTTTGAAAAAATGTGCATATGTTATGAAGGATGCAAAATAGATGATTTTTAGCCATTTTTGGGTAAAAAGCATGGACTATAGCTCATAATTTTGATCGATTTTGGGCCATTTTCACACCTTTTGAAAAAATATGAATAATTTATGAAGGATGCAAAATAGGTCGTTTTTAGCCATTTTTGGACAAAAAGCATGGACTATATCTCATAATTTTGATTGATTTTGGACCATTTTCACACCTTTTGAAAAAATATGAATAATTTATGAAGGATGCAAAATAGGTCGTTTTAAGCCATTTTTGGACAAAAAGCATGGACTATAGCCCATGGTTTTGATCGATATTGGACCATTTTCACACCTTTTGAAATATGATGCGTTGTTTACGAACTATACAAAGTAAGTTATTTTAAATTTTTTTTGGCCATTTTTTGCAAATAACCATGGATTATAACCCACGGTTTTGAAGGATTTTGGTTAACTAGATGTTATATTTCGCGAGTCGGCTTCAAGCTTCAAGCTTCACAGTTTTACTGATTTCCAGATACTTGTTGAGTTTCCGTTGCTAAAAAAACTAAGATCACGGTGACGTCTTTTTTATTTCCAATTAAAAAATTGGAAACTCGGGGGGATTGACATTTATAGCTTTGAGTTTGTCTTTATCTTTTCATCTTCCGCACTCCCTTTTTGATATTTCCTTTTGTCTGAATGCTCTCTTTTCCTGTATCACCACCAAATTCACATGTTTGTGAGGGGATGCTGGTTCCGACAGTAGGTGATGCGAAGCTGAATCCACTGCTTACTGCTGAAAAAATATAAACACAAGAAGATGAGTAATACTACAAAAATCTGGAAGGAGGGAACCATCCATTGATACAGTGATAAAGACTTACTAAAAACTATCATTTTCGAGATTTTCTAGTGCATTTGTTGGCGGTGTGTTTTTACCTGATACAGATGTGGCTGTTATTGCTGTTGATCCAAAAGTAGTTGCTGGTGCTGGTGCTGACCCAAAAGTAGTTGCTGTTGCTGGTGCTGACCCAAAAGTAGTTGTTGTTGCTGGTTTCGATATCAAAGTAGTTGCTGGTGCTGGTTTTGACATCAAAGTAGTTGATGTTGCTGGTTTTGACATCAAAGTAGTTGATGTTGCTGGTTTTGACATCAAAGTAGTTGATGTTGCTGGTTTTGACCCAAAAGTAGTTGCTGGTGCTGGTTTTGACCCAAAAGTAGTTGATGTTGCTGGTTTTGACATCAAAGTAGTTG